TTAGTAAGTAGTAATTGATAAAATTTAATTAATAAATGAGCTATGTGTTTGATCAAGTGAACTTAAAAAGTAAAACTATTACTGCCCATTATATGCAATAAGAACTTTGAACCTTGACTTTATGGGTTTTGATGAGAATGACAGCAGAATGCAATAATAAAATCTTTGAGGAAAATTATATTCAATGAATAAAGGGACCTACAAAGTTTGGCAAATATTATTTGAATGTCATTTGAAGAGTTTCAGTCTATATTTGAAAGGAATCTTCTTGTTTTGTTGTTTGCTGTTGATGTTTTTGTTGCTGTCATTGTTCCTGTTTCTGTTGTCATTGTTGTTCTTCCTCTTCCTCTTACTTTTTTCTCATTACCGTTTACATCGCCCCTTTCCAATTCTTTGAGGATTCAATCAAATCTCAAGATGTTCTTTCAAAATTTAGATTTTTTATACTATAAATGTACACTAATTGTCTCAGTTGGGTTTATGCTTGTTTGCATGTAACAGAAAATTCCAAAACAGCGGTGATGTAAACATACCAGGGCTCATGATCTCACATTAAGAATGCCTGAGGTCAGCAGTCCAGGACTGGCGGGACACTCCACAGTGTCATCAACCTAGAAGGGCAAAGAGAGCTGATAAGGTGACACATCAAACTACTGCAGAACTTGAACAGTCGGAAAACAAGACAAATTTTGTAACTTGAACAATGAAATGCCAAATGATTTCTAAAACTAGGTCATTTTGAACTTGACTTTTTTCTCCTTATCTTCTTCTTTTCTCTGATTTCCTTCAGCTCTTTTGTTGGTTTTGCCCTCCCTTTGCAGCAGCCATGTAATAAAATGCACTGCTTGGTCTCATGCATCAGGAAGACAGTAGGTGTCAGAATGACAGAAGCCACTACCTCTGAGGTGGTGCAGGCACCTACATAGGGCCCTGACAAGATCTTTGGAATGTGAGAATGTGCACTGCCCCGAGCTCAGAAAGGGAGCATAAATGCAAAGAATCAAGAGAATTCACATGGTTGCAAAATGGGACACAAGTGTCCCATAGCCTCAGTCATTTTTTTTTGGTGCTTTTAACTTTTTTCTCTGTTAATAATTATTGAGTTATACTAATATCACAAGAAGGTAGTGGTTGTGGTAGAAAAGAATGTGGGCTTTGATTTCAGATCTTCTGGGCTTATATTCAGATAATACTTACCTACTAATTAAGTGTCTTGAATAAGCCATTTCCATAAGCTCAATTTTTCCATGTATTAACTAGAGGTAATAGTCTCTACTCCACAGGTAGCTCTCAGGATTACATGAGGTAATATACATAAATACTTTATCCCTTCTACTTTAAACAAGTAAAAATAAACTACAACAAAAACATCATATGGAAATTCATGTTTGCAGTATTAGGTAAATAAGTTATTGATAATTTGAATTTTTTAAATAATAATTATAATTATTTGACTTGATAAATGTATAAAATATTCTATTCCCAAAAGAAATGTAAAGTCTTATTTAATTTTCAAAAAAAAAAAAATCCAATGTATAAACAATTCAAGGAGTGAACTGACATCCGTTTTACTTACCATTGCATCCAGAACCAGAATGTTTTTGGGCACATGGAAAGTATTCAGTAAAATTTTTGAATAAATAAATACATAAATGAATGAAACAATTTTCATTATTCTATATATATTCTTGGCACTGTAGTAGTTGCAGGAAATGTAAATAAGACTAACTTTCATGAATATTAGATTCTAAGTATGGACAAATCAACAAAATGATTTCAGATTATGATTAAGTGCTATGAGAAAAATTAAACAGGATTATGTGATAGAAATTGACTTAAGAAATGTGGAGAGAGCAAAAAAAGGCTTTAGATCAAATGGTCATAGAAGTTCTGAGTGATAAAGAAGAACCAGTCATAGGATAATCTAGATTTATAGTTGAAGATTTCTTCAACCAACACTGCATCACATTAATTTGACTTAAATTACTAGAACTCTACTTAGTTCATTTTGGAAGCATTTTCTTCAGTTAATAATCACACAGTTTTAGATGTGGCTCTCTTCCTAGATTTTGCAAAACTTGCAAATCCTGAGGCTCTAGGATCTCCAGGGAAAATGAAATTGTTTTATTGGGTAATGTTTTCTAAAGCATATCTAGTGGACATAAGGTAGTTATAGACACATCTCTCCAAAAATAAACATTCTGTGGCCAAATACCCTGTGAACCAGTCCAGGAACATAGGTGTATTAAAGCCTTAGAGAACTCCAAAAGTAGAATAACATGTATTACGTGTATCCTAATGTTTTCTCCACTAATTTTTAACATTCTATTTTAAATTTAATTTTTCCTTTCTCTGTATTTTTATTAACATCAAAATACAGTTTGGAAAATACTGGTATAGTATTAAAGATAGAACTTAGGCACAAAGGGAAAAGAAGGAAGATAATCCTCTGCCTATAAGTCTTGTGATTCTAAAATGGGATAGTTTACACAGACTTATCAGAAACTTAAAATAAGCTCTAGATATCATATTTACATACATTACCCACTTTAAACCCACTGAACAATAAAAAAGTTGCTCGTGTTTAGTTTTTTGACTACTTGAAGTTTTTTTTTAAGTTCTGTTGTGAAAGGGGAATATATTTTGGTTTCCTCTGTTTTTGCTTCATAAGAATTAACGACATTCAGGCAGATCTGCCTTCGGTTTGGTCTGGTTTAGTAAAAGTGATCAATAAAATATGGCAGACACTTCACGAGGTTTTACATATGAATGCCACACTCAGTTCCATCACTTCATCACTTACTAGAGGTGATTTTAGGCAAATTACTCAAACTCTCAAAGTTTCACATTTCTCATCTGAAAAGAGGGGTGGTAATCACCATATCCTGCCTTTTGGAGGAGGAGTCGAGCTAATGTAAAGGGCTTGAAAAAAGAGTATCATCCAGCTTCTCTGAAATGTTTGCTTGAGGACTATATATTCTCCCTCTAAAAGACTTTTTAATTCCCCAGTGGAGATTCAATGGGAAAAAAACAGAATGTTTGCTGTTTGTTCCCACAATGATGACTCAGAGAGTGCTGATTTATTGAATCAATTAGCGAAGAAGTAAAATTCATGTCCTATATTATAGGTGCGAAATGAGCTATTCAGCAAGAACCATGTAGGATATCCAACATTCTGAGCCAGGGCTTCTCAAGACACTTTACTTTGCTGTTTCACCCAGATTAAGCTAACAGGAGATCCTGGCTAATAAAGTAGTCTCTTTCACCTCCCTAAAATGTTCTAAAGAAAGCATCAACAAGTAATGATTGAATTCAACATATCAGCTGTATGATAACTATAGACAGTTTCCAACTGTTGTTCTCACACAGCATCATAGAGAAGAGGCAGCCTGCCCAGGTCTTAGATGACTACACTATTTCCAGTAGACCACACACAACCAAACTGAACAATAATTTAACTTTGAAAATGACTGATTAAGTTAGGAACACCACTTTAAAAGATTGTTTAATAAATCATATTTTTAGGCCTTAGAGAACGTTCATGAAGGATTTTGAGTCCACTTGTACAGAGCACTACCATGTCACACAATGTTTTCACTTCTTAGGAATTGCCTCATGTGTCATTCCTAATATTAACCCAAAGTTGAACTAGTGGTATGTTCTTTTGGTTTCACTGTTTAGTTTTAATCTTAATGTTGACTTCAGAGGTATGGAATCATACTACTGGCACTAAGAAAGGGAAGCAGTGTATCATGGAAACTGGGGGAGTAGGAACATTCCACTGCTTATCCTTCCTTCTTCTAGTATGCATTGCCTTCAGATAGAAAATGGGAGCAATTGTTGAGTGCATTCCATTGTGTCAGAATACTAGGAAAATATGATGAAAAATAAATGATGATCAGAGTAGGAAGAATCCTGGACTTAGGAGGCCAGAGACAGAGACTTGGGTTCCAGTATTGATTCTACCACTTATCCATCTTAGGCAAGTTATTCTCTGAGTTTTACTTTTCTCTTCTGTAAAATGATGATTATTCCTAAGATATCTTCCAGTTTTCTGATTCTATCATGTTCTAAAATCCATAAACTTATCTCTCTTTTCTGTTGATTCAAGGCTTTCGGGTATTTTATTTTTACACTACTTCTTTACCAGTTTGCTTTTTCTTAAGTTTTAACAAGAAGCCCAGATTACCCCAGTCTCCACAGGGCTCTTTTGGATTATCAGGAGAGGTTAGGTAGTATTTGTGATGGTGGAAACAAAGCCCATTTCCTGAATCGCAAAAATTATGAGGCTGGACCTTTAGTGTTAAGTGTTTGTCTTTTTCAATATCTGCTGCAAGTACTATATTAGATTCTAGTTATTGAGATTTAAAGATAAAATCGATCTTTATTTGGTGACTTTTTCATCAATCAAAAAGTATCTTTTACCATCTTCTGTGGCCTAAATGACATGTCAGGAATTACTGCAATAGTAAGAAAAGTTAAGGACTTTGTCTCTATCGTTGAGTTCTTTATATTCCAGTTAGAGCGAAAAGACTTGTGTAAAGGAATAGTTGATAAAACAGACAAGATGAGAGTAAAAGTGTTAACTTGTCTGGTATTGGAAATAAGTGCATAGAAACTCCTATAAGAAGTGGTTTCTATGGGCAAAATAACTTGTGTAACGCTTCATGGGGAAAATGAATGCTAAGCCTTGAGAAACGAGAAGAATTAGGACAAAAATGGCAAATATAATAACAATCAAGGAATGTCAAGGAAAAGATATGAAAAGACAGCGAGTAAGGGCATTGGTTTCCCATTGTCTTCTTATCTTGTGGACTAAATCTTGCCAAACTGTGGTTCCAAGGACAAAGACAATCCACTGGGAAAATATCCAAGGTTGAAGAATTTTCCTGAAACAAAGGGGAAAGGAATTCACACAGGAATGTACAATGCTGTCTAAAACAAGAAAGTCCAATAATTAACTTGATTTTTCTCTAGCAATTGCAATAGTTGAGTTTATCCCAGGGCCTAAGGAATTTTTCAGGTTATGAGAGATCCTGTTGGCTGCCCCTGCTTACTAAGGTTAACTCTTAAATAATGTTTTTTGTTTGTTGGTTGGTTGGTTTGTTTGTTTGTTTTCCGGGCCTGAAGTTGAGGACCAGGACCATCTTAATTTAGCATTAAGATGGAAAGGTGGCAGCAGTTAGTTCATCACGTTCCAAGAAAAGTGTCAGTAATAGTAATTTTTTTTCAAGCTAAGAAGGACGCTAAGATTACCCTGGTCCTCATTAGATATATGAGAGAATAAGGCCCAGAAGTTTAGGTGATTTACCCAAGGTCATCTACGCAACTATTTATATGAGACAAAGTTTAGGTTATAATCTTACTATCATGTTCTTTTAATGAAAAATGTTAATATTATCCTTCCCATCCTTCTGCCACAATTCAGTCTTTTTTCTAATCTTGTCCTGAACATAATCATTTTTTAACATCTCATATGTACTTAAATTCTTTTGTCTTTAGACACTAACATGAAGAAAAGTTGCACGAGGAATATACATTTCTTGTGGAAATTTTAAAAACACAAATAAATACAAAAAAAGAAAATTAAAGCCATCTGCAATTTTTTTCTGTGGAGAAAACCATGGCTATATATTCCACATATCTTTTCTGTGTAATATATATTTATTTTTTTATATATTTATATATTTTTAATCTAGAAATGGTATTTTGCTCTTTTAATGGTATGCTATTTTCAGTCAATATTTGTAAGCAAATTTTCATGTGAATGCATATACTTCCATAACCTTATTCTTGACTTGACATAAAAAAAAAAAAAATAGGAGTTAGAGCCATTCCTGATGAATTGCTTAAACTTGTTCTATAAAATTCAGTTTCTCCAAAACTACTGAGCTTGCTTAAAAAAATGCTTTTGGCCATGGATATACAAAAAAGTATAGCTCTTCTCCTTTTAGAATCTAGTGGTGTTATTAACTCCTATTTTCAGTTTGTTTATGGAACTAAAGTAATACTGAACATAGATACATAAAGGTGATTACCACAGTGGAAGTTTGACCTTTGAATAATCCTTCCTTGTATAAACAAAGTCTGGAATGTTTTAAAACCTCTAAGCTAATTTCTTTTTTTATTTATCTTAAACCTGAGTCAACATAGAATGTCCACTTTCCTTAGAGTATGAGATGAAAATGCCTTGGTTCTCTAATCATACATAAAGAAAGGGTCTTTGGGCACCACGTGTTCCTTGCCTCAAACCCACATGGCTCTGCTGGACCCTCCAGGCCCTACAAACATGGCCCTACCTGCCTTCCCTGCATTGGTGGACCTGCTTGAGAATTTCTTCACTGTCCTGTACCCAAACTGCTCTCATTCCCACTTCCATATCTTTAGACAATAAGGCTTATCATGGAATATCCATTCTCTCCTATTCCAACTCCACCCTTCCTTCCAGGTCCTGCTGACCAGCTTCCTCAGTGAAGCCCTCTTGGTGATTCATCTTGCTTCTCTCGCTTTTATCTGGAACTTGCTGGCTCTAAAGGTAAGCCTGGTGTGGTATAGCACAGGAGTTCCCAACCCCTGGGTCATCGACCAGTACCCGTCCGTGGCCTATTAGGAACCAGGCCTCACAGCAGGAGGTGAGCAGCTGGTAAGTGAGTGAAGTTTCATCTGTATTTGCAGCTGCTCCCCAGCGCTAACATTACCACCTCAGCTCCACCTCAGATCATCAAGCATTAGATTCTCCTAGGAGCTCTTGTCCCTGGTGCCAAAAAGGTTGGGGACTGCTGCCTCATCCGCCTTTTCTGTTCCTTAATTCATATCTCCGCTAAGCTTACTGTTCCCTTGTTTGTAAAGGCTGCAGTTTAGCTTTCATTTATATTTTATACAGCAATGTGCACATATTATATATTAAGTATTCAAGAAATGTTTGTTGATTAGGGGAAAAGTAGAGTCCTATTTCTGGCTGTTTCTTCTTAGTTGTTAGACCTTAGAAAAGTTCTTTAGCCTCTATGAGCTTGTTTCCACTCTTGAGGACGGAGTGAAAGCACCAGCCCCATAAGGCTGTCATAAAGAGAAAGGGACTCAATGTGAAGAGCATGGGTGTACAAACTGCCTCAAGAAATGACAGCTACCATCAGAATGGGCTAGTGGACCTTCTCCCTTTGACTTTATTACAGGTTAACTAAACTAAAATGTGACCCAGACTCTAATATGGTTATGAATTCTAATCCTTATGAATATTTTCTAGCATTCTCAAAAGTAAAGTATATATAATTACTTTATATATTTACATATTTTTTAAATTTTATTATGCATACATATACACCTATATATATTTACTATTGTTACCATAGCCTTCTCCCAAGATGGGAAATAAATATGTTCCCTTGAATTTTCTGGGCTTCTTTCACCATGAAACCTTGTATGCACACATATTTGTATGTATGTATAAATGCTCTTTTATTCTGAAGAGTTTGAATGAATGGATACATGTGATATGTGTACATGCAGATAAGTGTGCATAATTATACACTACATTATATAGCATATATCTAACTCAGTGAGGACTTCTTGGTTGCAAGTGATGTTAACACACTCAGACTACCTTTAAGAGAAAAGAGGAATTATTTTGGACTGGGTAGATAGCTATATTAGTTACAATGAGATTTAGCCACATATCATTTTAAATTTTATAAAATAATTTCTTAAGTAAGATGCGAATATATTTCTCTCTCACAGAAGAGGAATCCAGAAACATGTAGTTGCAGTGGCTCCACGATGCCAGGGTGAATTTCCTCCCCTACGACTCCACTGTTACCAGTAAGTGGCTTCCACTTCATGATCCAAAATGGCCATTTGAGCTCCAGCTATCACAATCCATCCAATGAAAGGAGGAAACCCAAAAGAGCCAGCCTTCTTCTTAAGGAGCTTCCCCAGAAGTAGCATACAATACTCCTACTCACCTCTTATTGGTCAAAATTTAGTGATGTGGTTTTACCTAGCCGCAAAGGACGCCTGGAAATGTGACCATTTAGCCGAATGTTAATTTGTCCAGGTAAAAATAAGAATTGTTTTATTAAAGAAGAAAAGGGACATACATATTGGAGAAGCTGTTACAATTCCATAACTCAATTAATTTTGTAAACATAGAATGCGCTTCCTATAGCTTCCCTGCTTAGTTCAAATATAGATCTAAAATGTACCAAAATTGTCTTAACAAAATCATAAATATATAAAAAATTTATCCTCAAAATATTTCATTATTCTATAGCTTATAATAGCAAAAAAAAAAAAAAAAAAAAAAAAAAAAACCCAACAACAACAACAACAAAATGAGTTTGGAAAAATAAATTAGTTTTAGAGCCCAATAATGAAGTACCATGATGTTATTAATGTTCAGATTAAGTGGTAAAAAATCAACAATCATGATGCGAAAACCTGTCTAGATTATTAAATAAAACCAGCAGATTACAAAACCTAATGTACAATATATTCTATTTTGTTATGAGAGTATCATGTTGTTACAGTTTCTCTATAAGTTTGAAATTATTTTCAAACAAATTTAAAAAGAAACTATATTTGGCAGGTAGGCAGCTACAAAAATAGATAATGTATAGATGGAAAGAAAGGTCAATGTATAGATAGGTGGAAAGGTAATCAGATAGGAGAGAGAGAGAGAGAGAGCGAGATGAGAGGTAAGGAAGGGAGAGAGAATCAATTCTGCCTTCTCAGGGAAATTGTAATATAAATATTCAAAATATACAAGTGAACTTCTTGATCAACATTATGTTAAGGCTGATTAAGAGAGAGAATGAAAAGTAAGTACACTAGAAGCATCACCAGTGGATATCTTTGAATGGTGAGGTAGTGGTGATCTTTATTTTCTTTGTGTTTTCTTCTCTTCCTCTGATCCCTGAAACACTCACATTTAGAACTTGGCATCTCTGCTCTGTTATATTGGTTGTCTTTTTATATCTGAGTGTTCTACTTCTCAGAGATATTGTAAGCTAAATACCCAGGAGATATGAGTGGACTGCTTGACCAACATTAGGTCAAGGCTGGTACCAGGTCAACGGACTTTAAAAGAAACAGAGAGCACAGTGGTTGCCATCTTCCTATGGTAGGACAACAAAAGTAGACATAAGTGAGAGTCTCATTGCTTCTGTAAGTCCAGACACTGAAGTGGTTCAGAGCACAAGTCTGAAATCTAGCTGCTTGGC